GCCAGATGGAAAAGAGTATATACTGTATAATTCCATTAACATAAAATTCTAGAAAATGATATCTAATACCTAGTGATAGAAACAGGACAGGAGGGAGCAGAAGGAAAGGATTGCCAAGGGAATGAGAAAACTTTTGAGATGATGGACATGTTCAGATCTTTTTTTTTTTTAAATATCTTTATTGATTTCAGAGAGAGGAAAGGAAAGGGACAGAGAGAGATAGAAACATCAATGATGAGACAGTCATTGATCGAGCCTGCAACCGGGCATGTGCCCTGACCAGGAACCGAACCCCGATCGCCTGGATCCTAGGTCGATGCTCAACCGCTGAGCCACGCCCGGCAGGGCTATGTTCAGATCTTGATCATGGTGCTGGTTTCAGGTGTATGTACATGTTAAAACCAAACTGTATACTTTAAATACCTAGTTTACTGCATATCATTTATACCTCAAAGAAACTGTTAAAAAAGAGCCCAATACCAATGAGCTCTTTAATTCTTTTGTGGATTCTTTTAAAAATACTGTATCATAAGTATTGTGATGACATGTGGAAACTCAGTCCAAAGTGATTAAAAAGAATTGAAGTTTGAGAAAAAGTTTAACTTTTTAAATCAATTTATTAATTTATTTCAGTTTTATTTTCCTTTTCTGGATGTGTAGGTGTAATACAGTGTAGGATAAAAATATACCTACGGCTAAAAGAGATCTTTTAGTAACTATGAAGCAAAAGCCTACGTGGTCAGAAGGCATTGCGTTATAATTTCTTAATTTCAATGGCAGCTTTTTATCCCCTCTCTCTTAGTGGTGTATAAAATAATGGTATATCTTGCAAGCAATGATGTCTTAGATTTAAACAAATGCAATATATCCTGAACTGGATCACTTCTCATCACCTTCACAGCTACTACCATGGTCCAGGCCAGCATCACCCCTGGCCTGGCTGACTGTAACAGCCTCCTGACTGCTTTTCTTACTTTCACAGTTGGGCCCCTTATCCTTTATTCTCAGCATAGTAGATAGAGTGATCCCTTTAAAAAGTAAATCGAAAAAGTCATTCCCCTGCTCAAAATCCTCCTGTGACTTCTCATTTCATTGAGATTAAAAGCCAAAGTCCTTATAAAATCTTACAATATCTGTGCCATTCTTCACCATGCACAAGGTTCTTTGCTTTTCAAGAAATATGTTCAGACTGCATCTGCCTCAGGGCCTTTGCACTTACTGTTCTCTATGCCTGGAATTCTCTCCCCCCCCGATTTTTGCATGGACCGCAGCCTGTACCTTCCTTAGATCCTTGCTCAAATGCCATCTCATCAGTGAATATTTCCTTATAAACATTTTTAGCATTGCAACACCCTTCAACACCCTTGGCTAGCAGCCCAATCTCCTATTCCTCTCCTTCCCTGCCTTACTTTCCTCTTATCACTATCTGACACATATATATTTTATTCAGTTATTTGTCTTGTTCCTTTATCTGTCTGTCCCTCGAAGTAGTATGTAAACCCCATGAGAAAAATAGATTTTTATCTGTTTTGCTCTTTCCTATGTTTCTAATACCTAAAACAGTTCCTCAACTGCAGGTACCCAAGAAATATTTGTTGTTGGGTAGATGAGTGAATTGCTGCTGAATGAATGAGTGAATGAATGAGTAGCTTGTGAGCGTAACCTGAAGTTCAAGGTAGAAATTTCTTTAAAACATTCATATGTATTATTCAGTTTATAATACATAGATCTGTGTTTTATCATGAACATCCTTTACCTCAAAATCTTTGAGCCAGAATGATAGTCCAGGAATATGTTTACCCATAGTTACTATGAATCAGCATAAGCCACTGTCTGAGAGGCAAAATCAGGCATTTAGAGCTTCATTTGATCTTGATACGTACGAATTAGTTTATCCAGCTCTTGCCACTCAAGAGAGGCGGGGAGAGAGCTCAGGATACCCGGAAGATTTCAAAACACGCAGGTACACACAAGAGGTTTGCAAAGCTGGAGGCATCAAACTGATAGCAAATAGACTGGCTCTAGGTCTAAGTATGTTCTGAATAGACTTGGGAAATACATAACAAAGTACAGGCCAATAAAATTTTGGGAAAACGAGCCTTTAATACCAAGAATCAAAAGTAGTTGATATTAGCTAAATTTGATTAGTTTTCGTTGGACTGGGGAAGTAGAAACGAGGTGACCAGGAAAAAGTGGAAACACCAAATGCTATCAGTGGACAGCTTTCTCTTCTAAAAAGGGTAAGGGGGGCCTGATCTAGCTCTTTTTCTGTTGTCTGCATTTGTATTAGGCAAGAATCATGTCTTTTAATACAAAGATGGCTTCTTTTTTATTTGCCAGCTAATGGCAGCCGTTTGTAAGTTCTTCCTACCCTCCTTTTCCTTCTGGCACTTTCCACCGCGGTCTTTCTCCACTCTCCAGTTTTTTCTTTGTTCCCCCAAGGCTTGATAACATAAGGAAAAAAAGTTGGATATAAGTTCAGAAGAAAATGAGTTCAATGTGGGGAATCCGAGCGCTAGGAGTTCGAAAGAGCATGCGGCTGGCTCACAGTGCTTTTGGCAGAGGCCGGGGAGAGACCTGGCAGAAGTCCTCCAGGCCTCCACGGGTGGAAGGCCGCTCACCTGGCCAGTACACTGGGCCCCCCGGAGCAGCCTAACGTTCCCTGCCTGTGGGTCGCCCCACAGTCTGTAAATCTGGGTGGAAGGTTCTTCTGGGGTGGAGAAAACATAAACGAGGCAGTTTGTTCAGCATCTGCTATAGATTGTGGTGAGGTGCACGCACATGCTGGGCTTTATTGATATAAATCATTTTGTCATGAGGCATCATCAGCGCTAAGGTAAACGAATCAATTGCGTTTTGTCATTATGGAAAATCATCGGGGTGTGTAGTATGTAATTTACCCACTGTTGGTCCTGAACAGAGCACTTTGCACTGAGGTATCTTTTTTGCAGACCCGGAGATGACTTATGGCTCTCATTTTCTTCCAGTTTGTTCCTTCACAGTTTCTCCACTTTTCTCCAGTGATTCAGGCCCCAAAGGTCCCCAGTCACCCTCAAATAGGATGGTAAGAGGAATACCTACCTGAGCAACCTGTTCAGGCCCCTCTATGAGGATGGGAAGGTGGGGGACACGAGAAGGAAAGAAGGAAAAACACTCCCTCAGCAGGTGCGATGCAGCAGGTACTGCACACACGTCTGCTATCTTTTCGTGTCTGATAGAAATTTCTAGATTCCTAGATACTGAGCGCTGATTCAGTTATGTGATATAAGTAAAAAGATGTTAACTCTTCTGTATTCCTTAAAGAGATCTATAAAAGTGACCTTCTAAATGCACCGTTTCCCCCAAATATATCCCACCGTGATTTCAGAGATTTACAACAAATTATGCCTCTACCTTTCTATTCTTCTCTGGTTTCCATCATCTAAATTCTTTAATTTTTCATCTTATAGAAAACGCTACCAGCACACAACCAAAGAAAAGTCTTTCCTGAATGTACTATATCAATGTCTAACTTACCTCATTGCTCAATCTCTCTGCCAGAGGATTTTCTATATATATATTTTTAATTTTTTAGGCACCATCTGCAGGGGTATTAGAAGGGGAGAGTTCGCTAGGATGGCACCTCCGGTGTTTCCTGTATTAAAAAGTCCCTAGCCTTTTTACATGCCACCTCTTTTCGCCTAGAGCCTAGTTTTTTTCACAAGCTGATTTTTCCCCTGACCTCTCGGGATAGTTCTCCAGTACGCATTGCCTTTCTTCTTGACCTGCAAGTCCATTTAAAGCCACAAACCTCACATATGTCAACTGTTTTCCTCCATCTCGTCAACAAGTAAAGCGAACAAAACCACATTCAGTAAAGATATTCATTCTCATTTTCTAAACCAGAGGAGACTCAATCAAGGATCTCTTGAAAGATTCTGGATTAAGAGCAAAATCTGGAGACAATATGCCAAGCGAGGTGAAATTATTCTAAAAATGCATGTCCTTGGGTACAAGGGCTGTCTTATTTATGTGTACATCTGCTGCAGCGCCAAGCGCGGCGATTGCCACAAACAGTATTCTAAAATGAACTCCACTGATGTACGACTCCATTGTTGGGTTAGGTATTACGAGAACATGTACCACCTACCCTAGCAGGGCCTAGCGAGGCAGATATCTGAGGTACCTCACCTTGATCCATCTAAGTGCTTTACAAACATCCCGCCACGGAACAGTATTGTGGGACAGTTCAGAGGAACGAATACGTGCTCAGGCTCTGGAATCAGACGCTGGGCTTAAATCTTGGCTCTTCTCTTTACAGTCTTCTGACTGTAAGCAAGTCACACAACGTGTCTAAGCCTCAGGTATCTCATTTGTAAGGTAGGGATAAATAGCACCTCACTAAAAGACTATTCTAAAGATTGAATGAGATGATCATGTGAAGTTTCCGGCACCTACATGTATATAGTAAGCATACATTTATTGTGCTGGTGTAGAGAGATTAAGACAGAAAGCCAACGAATGGCTTCATATAATCACTGCCTGATGTGAATTCTGAAAAAAACCTGTGATCAGCACTGATCAAAGGTCACTTTGTAAATGAAGACCATGTGATTTCACCACGCGGGAGTGAATTTGCTCTGATCTGCTTGTGTTCCCTGCTGTATTCCACCATGCACATCTGACTGTGTGAGGTAGCAGATGGGACGCAGTCTGTCCCCACGCTGGCAACAAGCTCATGCCCGCCCAGAGAGTGTATCTAGACCCATGTCTAGTTTGCTCCTAATGTGCCTCAAAAGGAAAGGCTTCCTCCTTGGGGTTGCAATGGGTGACCTGATTTGTCCCACTTAAACTAATTCACAAAGCAGGGTCACGAATCTTTCCACAGTGTTTTCAGATTTGTCTTCATTTTGGTGGAGGGGTCATTCACTAGTTGCTGAGGGGAGCTAAGCAGGGGCAGGCGGGGGAAGAGATAACAAGTCCAAAGGCCCACAGATTGCCCCACTGCTGTAGCAGCTTACGTTTGGTTGCGGAGAGCTGGGATTTATACAGCCCTCGGACCAGCCTGCAGGTGGACCCATCTCCGTTGCACACTCCACAGTTATCTTCCTTGGTGTTGCTTCCGAGCTGGTGATCGCAGCCAACAATCTAACAAGAAAGAGAGATGCGTAATTCAACCAGGTGCCTGCTGCTGGGCCGCGGGGCCTCCCACTGTCCTGGGCATAAAACATGCTTCCCAGGACCAGGGAGGCAACGGAATTCAGCTGGCATCTGAATCAAGCTAAGGGAGAAAACATCAGCGCGGGCAAAGATGTTTTTAGAATTCAAATAAACAAACAGAAAGATGGTGAGACACAGGGAGGGAGAGTGGAAAGGAGTTGGGAGAGGGAGACAGAGAAAGGGAAGGAGGGAGTCAGGCAGGGGGAGAAGGTGAGGGAGGGAGAGAGAAAGATCCTACACTATTGATATTATAGAACGTTAATTCAAAAATAATTCCCACTGTCGCCCAGCCAGTGTGGCTCAGCAGTTGAGCATCCACCTGTGATCCAGGAGATCGAGGTTCGATTCCCGGTGAGGGCACATGTCTGAGTTGTGGGCTCGATCCCCAGCAGGGGCCGTGCAGGAGGCAGCCGATCAATGGCTCACTCATCACTGATGTTTCTTTCTTTCTCTCTCTCTCTCTCTCTCTCACTCACACTCTCACTCTCCCTTCCTCTCTATGAAATCAATAAAAACATATTTAAAAAAATAATTCGCATTGTCAGTAATTAAGATTCACCCAAATCACACACATACAAAATACATTCATGAGGTAACTGTAACAGGGGAAACTTAGTGAATAATCTCCATGTTCCACATGTTCCTTAGAATGTAAGATGCGTAAGGGTAGGGGTTTTATATCTCGAGTTCACTGATGTATTCTAAGCAACTAGAACAGTGCCTGGCAAACTGTAGGACTTCAATAAATATTTGCTGAATGATAATGAAAATCCTTATTTTTCTAGCTATGGGAAGAGAAACAGAATCACAGAATCAACTGACAGAAACAAGGTTAACGTATGTGTGTGGTGGGAGAGGAGGGCCGACGTGAAGGGCAGAAGAGATAACCATCACTGAGAGCCTGCTACTTGCCTGGCCCTGTCCTGTACCACGCACAACAGGCATCTCTCATTAATTCTCAAAACAATCATGTGAGATAGCCCCATTTTATAGGTGAGGCCATGAATCTTACCAGTCACTTAGTTAATAAGTAGTTGAGTTCTAAATGCATCTAACAAAATGTTTATGCTTAGTCCAAGTCAGGCTTAACAAAATCACAAGCATTTATCAAGGATATGGGCAAACTCATTTGTACTTTTACTCTTTCCTTTCCCATGTTCAAGTTAAAAAAAGGATTCAAACCCAAACCCCACTGTTGTATGTCTATAGTTCTCATTGGATCTAGTATCAAAAGGCTTATTCCATCTCCAAGCTATTTCAACTACTATCTTTGACAAACTAAAATGAGAACTGTGAGGACATTTGAAGGGGCTTATCTCCACAAAGTCTCCACAACTCATCCCGTCTTTCAAAAATCTGGTTGTTAATATGACCGTTTTTTGAGGCCCAATTTTCCTTTCTGTACCTTTAATTAGTAATTGCAAACACATGTTTAGGCAAAGGTAGAAAAATGCAATTATTTAACATTGTGTTATAAATGTACCATGTTTTTAAATGTGTTAATGTGTATTTTTTTTTTTTCATTAAAAACAACAGGCACCTTTTAAAATAGATGACAAAGCACCAACTCCTTCAACAGTCGTCCAATTTTTGAAATGCAAAGATGTCATTTAGAAAACATAGTGCCGGGCTCTTAAGTGGGGAGCAGAGGTGTGCTAGCTCCATCTGGAGGGGTTCACTGTGATGAAGCAGCAATGCCCCTCGGAAGGTTCAGAGCCCGCAGTGAGGCCATGTCAGCATTCAGTCAACCTTCATCCACGCAGAGCCAAGCACATGATGCCTCAGGACTCCTTCGCTGTGCTTCTAGATGACTGCAGTAAAGCTATTTTCAAAATGAACCCACACCTGAGCTGAGCAACTTCCGTATTCATTCGTGTTCTGAGCACAGTGTGGAATGGGAGTGCAGAAGTAATTAATTTATAAAATAAAATCATTCAATCATTCAGCCAACAATGATCAGAGATCTGCTGTGAGCCAGGCACTGTACGAGGAACAAAATCCAATGGTAGATGTAAGCACACAGGGGGGCCACCCTCATGGGACTTAGAGTCTAGTCGGCAGAGGCACATATTAGTCAAATCATCAAACACAATGATGTATAATGACAATCGTCATACAAGCTATAAACACAGATGCTTGGTACTCTGCGAGCATCAAGTATGGAGAATTTGATCTGGTTTGACAGGCTGAGGAAATGTCCCTAAGGAAGAGTCTTCTGAGCTGAGCCATGAATAAGAACTCAGAGTTAAGTAGGCAAAGGGAAGGTGTGGCTGTGAGCTTTAGAGCATGTTTTAGTCTTGCCTACATACTAGCTAATTAGAAAGTAAGCAAAAAAGCAGGTCCTGGCTTGATAGCTCAGTTGGTTAGATCGTCATCCCAATACGCCAAGGTTGTGGGTTTGATCTCCTGTTAGGGCACCTACAAGAATCAACCAATGACTGCACAAACAGGTGGAACAACAAATTCATCTCTCTCTCTCTCTCTCTCATTTCCTCCCTCTCTTTCTCTCTCTCTCCCTCTCTCTAAAATCAATCAATAAATTTTTTTTAAAAGTAAGCAAAATTGGCAAGATAAAATACACACATCAAAATAACAGAACATTAAGTCATTTGATTGCCTTTGAATCTTTTGAGAAAACATGGCAATCTTAATTTAGGCAGTATTCAAAGAATCACTGACTCTACTGTGTTGTTTGGGATTGGAAAGAGATGGCCTTTATCTTATGAGATACTCAGTTCTGTGGAAGGACAAGATGGGCAGTGGGCATGGGAATTTATACTCTCAGGTGTCTCAAAACTAACTAGGATTACTTATTAAAATAAAGAAATTTCAGGTTTCTCAAAAGATTTAAGTTTCTCTGGAAAATTTTTAATAGGCTCTGATGTCTCTAAAGGAGCCAAAAATAAGATAATCATGAAAATCTCTCTAATCCTAAAGATTTCTTATGGTTCCAAAGCCATTTTAAGAAAAGAACAACCCAGCTCCATAGATCCAAAATAACAGTGATGTTAGGAATAGCTAAATAGAAGGTAACATATTTTAAGGCTAACTTGGGCAGACCACCAAGAGCTCTCAGTGCAGGTTTATGGACCCCAGGATATGAACCAAGTCGGTTCTAACTGGGCTTTGTTTAATTTCAGAATTGAAAAGACAAACATTGCCCTGACACAATTGCTTCCCCCCATATCAATTCCTTTTTAAGATGCCAAAATATTCTAACTCAATTATTTTTAAAATGTGGAATACTTTATCATCAGATAAATGTTCTTATTTTGGTCCAAGTGGAAAATTATTAGCAGTTACATCAGGAAAATTATTGTTGACATACCTTAATCTGTTGATCTTTTATAACTATTTGATTAATTAAAAACTAGTTAAGCTGTTATTTTAAGGGCTATCATTTATAACAGAGGAAAATTAGGAATAAGAAATGGACTTCATTGGCAGGTATAACGTCATACCTCTCTGTGCCTTTGCACGTGCTATTATTTCTGCCTGGAATAATTCTTTATTTGGCAAACTTTATTTGGCAAACTTTCCAAATTCTTTATTTGGCAAACTCCTATTCATCCTTCAAACCCCAAATTGTCTCCTTCTCAAAAAAACCTTCTCCAGATTCCAGAGTTAACAGCTTTATTGCTTCATGATTCCTCAGCCTTTTGTTCATAATTCCATGTGGCAGAGATAACTGGTTGCTACCCAATATCCATCTTCCCTATTTTTCTCAGTAACAAAAGTTCAGTTTTATTTGGGGTGGCAATATATCCAGTTAAAAGAATATATTTCTCATTGGCTATGTGAACAAGTTGTAATTAGTGAAATAAAAATAGAAGTGTGTGGGATTCCTGGGAAGGCTACTAAACAAGGCGACTTAGCTGAGGAAGGCCCCTTCTGTCCTTTGCCTTCCTTCTGTCCTGTTAGCGCCAGTTGCTGTCTTGAAGAGTGAAGCAGTCCTGAGCATGGAACTTGCTTTAAGGAAAGGAGAGCAGAAAGAGAAAGAGCTCGGCCTGAAACCCTGCTTGGACTGATTACATCTTGACTTCTTTTTTTGTGATAGAGTAAACCCTACATGTGCTTAAGCCAGTATTATTTTGGGGTTTCTTTTACACAGTCTCAATTCAAATAGTTATATCACTTATTTTGAGTTTAATCTATTAAGATATCTGTCTCCACATCAGATCATGGGCTATTTGAGAGCCTCTGCTTTATTAATCTTTCTTATTTCTGCTGCTTAGCACAGCATTTGATATTTGAGATGCACAGTGAATGTTGGTGAATCATTAAAACATATAACACCAAACATGATGATTTGCTACTAATTTCAAGGTAGGCTACAGAGAGGCAACCTGAGATTGCAATCACTGATGATCCACATGTATACAAAGTGTGCATGTATGTGTTTATATGTGTTTGCTTGCATCCGTGTACGCAGGGGAAGAGACACACCAATAATGACAACTAGAGGCCAAACCTAAACCTCTGTCCCAAGGCCTGAACAAGAATTACTGTAAAGGACTATACTTTTTAAGAGACTATTTCCCAATGCACCTATGCTCATTACTAGTGAAATGTCACGGAAGGCAATGTTCCGGTCACCGAGTTCCCAGACCCACCCCATTCTGGACAAAACATTAAAGTGAGATAATGACCACTCATAACTTTGGCAATTGCATAGAATTTTTTGTAAAGGGTGGAAAACTAACTGGATATTTTGGCCTAAAGCAGCTTATTAGTATTCTGCTGGTAGGTGTTAGTTCAATACTGTTATCTAATCCCCCCAGCCCCCATCCAAAATGATTGCACAGTGTTGTTTTTCTTTCCTTTCTTTTCGTTTTAACAAAGCTTTTGTCTCAGGTGACATAAAAAGTGAGAACTCCAAGATCCTTTTGTTGTTTGAACACCATCAGCGGGGTTGCCAATTTTTGCTTTTCTATCTCGAATATATACTTTTTGCGTACATGCATGTACACATGCACACAGACATGCAGTCTTTGTCTTTTGAGTAGAACACACACATTCAGCAGTGCTGATTTTCCTTCATTTTCCTCTAG